AAATAAATTATTTAGGTGATTTTAAATTATTAATTATAGCATGGTGTTGAGTGAGGGAATCATGAGGACGTCCACGCTTGAGCTGTCGGAGGGTAGGCTTTTCGCTGAGATTGAAGTATTTTGCGCTTTTAGCATTGTTTAGTTGGTCGAAAAAGTCGATCGTGAGATTTTGTACATTATACCTATCAGTCAGATAAGCCGTGAAACAATAAATATATATTGTGATTAGAGCGCAATCAGTGACTGGCAACTAGCAGTTTTGACAGTTGTGGACTGGCCAGGCCCTGGTCCAATGGGCAATTTTATTATTATATCAGTTCAGAAAATACAAAAATAGGCGCTTATCCTGTCTATCTCTATCGAGATTGCTCATTCTTGTGATTATACCTACTGTAGTGTATTTGATTAATTATGAAATTGAACTTAAAAAGGCATCAAAACTGAAAATTGTGTTATGAAATGTTGATTATTGATTAGGTTCTAAAGGAATTAAGTAAGTAATTGATATTAACAATCGAGTTAAAATAATTAATACTTATTGATACAAACTTGAATGATAAGAACAACTTTTAATATATTATTACATCGATCCATAATACATTTCATATTATGCAATAAAAATTAAAAATGCCAATGATAAAAGAACCTTGTATACTTATCACTGGTGTATAATTCCCCGAACCGTGAGTTTGAGGATCAGCTTTGTTCTTCCACTATTCTTTTCCACATGTTTTAAAAATTAAGGTGCTGATAATTTGTACGGTTCTCTTGGTCAATAAATATGCTGCCTATGAGAATGAAGCTTAGTCAGTCAGTCTTACAGTAGAAATACCGTATAAATCCAAGAGTGGTTCACCAACTAATCTAACCGTCAAGACTATGGGCTGCACTTCAAACTTCTGTAATTATAAGTAAACTCGGTAAGTATACGGGAAGATCGCCTGTACCAAAGACGAAAGCAGTCCAGACAAGTACCACTTATGTGGGGGTGCTCACACATAAAAATTCAAGGGATGTCCAAAGAATTTTACAAACTTATTTTCAAACGCCGAAAAATAATTATCCAACCAATAAAAATCTTAATAAAAAACACTCTGTGTTCATTTTTGACTTTTCCTCTCCGGATAAATCTGTGATCAGTTGCTACCAATTCCAACTATGTCTAAGTATAATTTTAAAAATGAAACATCATTACAGACATTTCTTTCCGTTTATACTTCGTTAATTAACTCTCTATTTTCCCTTCTCACCACTGTATTACATAAACAATATATCCCCAAAGTCCATAACTATACCTCTACCCCGATACTTTAAATTATCAACATAAGCTATAATGACATCAATAAATATTTATTATCGTACCTTTACACCTTATCTTTAATATACCTTGATGCAATAACATTACATTACACTAAACACTATGTTCAACTGAAATTAACAACATATTATTTTGTATGATTATAAATATATAGTTTGGGGTCCCAACTTGGCGAGAGTTCCACCCTAGGTTAATTTTTCCAAATCAAATCTTTGTATCTATTAACTAATTTACTTTTTGTATTATACAGATTGAAACATACATTTAAAAATATACTATTTTCTTATTAATTAATACCATGGTTAACATAACCCTCGCATTTTAAGTGTAAGGGAAGGCTTAGTAGATCGTTGCTACAAGTTCAAGATTGTGTTGTTGGTTTTTGAACCAAGTACCAGAAATCCAATTCAAATAATATATATTACACAGTATAATATACGTTTCTCTTTGTTTGAATGCTGACGTTTAAATGGAAAAAAGAAATAATAATAAACTCGGCGACGACGAATAAAATAAAATACACTACCACCACCACTACACACACGCAGGTAGGTTATATCCTGCATCGAAACAATCTGTTATCTTCCTGTCTATTTGTTGCGCCTTTATTGGATTTCGGCTTTGGCCCACAAAAATAGGCCTTATAGAGCTGTATCGTCGTCGTATATGGGGATCGAGATGTACGCGTTGAAGGGGTTTCGTCGTGGTATACGGACGAGGCTTATGTGGTCTAAAAGATTTAGACCTATATATAGATGACAGCGGCGGTGGCGGCAGGTCAAAAGGTTTAGAAGAGGACTGAATGCAGTGGCAGAACATTATATTATACTGACCCACCCCTCTCTCCCATCAATTTCGCAGAGTGCACGTGTGAGTGTGTGTGTCTGTGTATGCGTGTGCGTGAGTGGAGAAGGATAGACAGTTCCAAATTGGTCTTGCCAGAAGGATGTTGTGGCAACCAAGACAAATCGCGCTCTCTTTCAGTGGTATATAGCTTCGCGTGAAGACCACCTCCTCTTTCAAACACACAAATACACACACATACGGCTATATTTTAACACACACTCACACACACATAAGCATAGGTACACCTCCGTACGAAATGAATCGTAGATTCCATTTGCTGGTCAGGGGGAGGGGTTAGGAGGGGTTAGGAGGATAAGGATGAGGAGAAACGAGATGTATACGCGCGTATATAAGACCAAAAAAGCCATAACCCCTAACCCTCTTTCGCCAAGTTGCTTTTTGATCTCGACGTTTTTATTCATTCGAGCTTCCAGACGAGCTTAACCGTATTCCTCACATATGAAAAATAGGTAAAGCAGAGTAAACTATTTCTATTTTCTTAAACTCATGGCTGTATTATATATATTACTGTATGTTCTGCTCCGTATTCACGTGAAAGTCATCATTGTTTATTCAAAGGCTTTCGCCCGATATCGGTGCGCTGATTGGCCGACAAATGTAATTTAACTACAAACATTCTATTTCTTATCATGTGTTTTATCATAGACGCTTTACTAGAACTGTTACTTATTCTCACAAAACGTCCCTGCATGCGATTTTCGCCATTTTTTACGATATATACTAAGATCAACGATACCATTTCGAAGGACGTGGCACTATTCTATCGTTTTCTAATATCCTTCCAACTATGAAATTGAATTACCTTTATATTTCCTCTCTATTACCAAGAGAAATGTCCATTAGAGCATGCATTTTGTATAAGGACAGGTAACATGCGAATTCCTATACAAAACGTATTAAATAAAATATATTTATAAGTCTTTTGATCTTTATACTAACATTGCTGTAATATTGTGATACATAGTAAAACATTATTATATACAACAATAAAAAATATAAGATAATATTGTAAATACAAACGAAATTAAATGACAATAGACTTTGTCAAATGAAAAACAACAAAATATACTAATATCGCACATGTTTTCAAATCTTATATCGCTTATATATGGTTTAATTAATAATATAACATAGACAATACTGGTAATTTATGACTTGATCCTAATCACCGATCACGGGTGTTAATAATTTAGTTTAATCATATATCATTATAATATCAAACCTAACGTTCCAATAAGATAAAATATATTAGAATATGAATTAATGCATCATTATAACCAATCAAACACGAGTATAACGCTAGACCAAAAAAGATAATCGCCTCTATTTAATATAATTAAAATAGGAGATAGAATTAATGTAGGAGCCAAAACGTTTTAAGTAAAAAGCTTTGCTCGCAGGAAAAATTCTCAGGTCTCTTGAACTATAGTTACATTTTGATATTCTTTTAACATTTTTGAATGATGAAGACTTAATACAGATTGGATTGGATTCCGATTTTATTATATTTAAGAAGATACCTAAGTCTATATATTATTAAGCATTTTTTTGTAGTTTAGAGTAAATCTTTTTGTGTTTCTTAAAGTTGATTAAAACATTTGAAATCAATGTGACATAGAAAAGGTTTTCCTCTTTCAAAGAAAATAAAAAATGATCAAAACATGACAATTTTATGAGGTATATTGTGTATGGGCACCGACCCACGTATTAATAAATCGTCTGAGATTATGCCCATTAATATATATTCGGCTCGGTTGAGAAGAAAAGCCTAGAGTATAATATATTTATACCCAGTGAGTACATATTTTACAAATAACAAAATAATATGTACCTAATCGAAGTTTTAACTTTTAATTTGACGTAAAACACAAACACAGAATGTGTACAATGTGTCAATGTACCGTCATTAAATGTGATATAAATATAATGAGGATACCATAACTTGATATATTGTATATATATATCGTATTATTATTATCATGTCCATTGTAATGTATTCAATTACAATATAAACGAGTGTAAACTATTATACTTACCTGCACAGTCAACAATGAACTTAACAGCTAGTATGGATTTATAACAAACATTTCCTTATTAACTATGATTAGTACAACACTGAAATATTTAATAACTATTAGTTTACATAAAAATAACTTTACTTTCAAGTCCATAATCTGGTACCTATTACAATTTAAATAATAATTAGTTATTGCAAAACTTATTAACAACCATCAAAAGTTAATAAAATAAGACATCTTATGGCTATACATAATTTTCACGGAAATTTCATATGAAAACATCGTTTGAATTTTAGTTTAATCTTTATCATACATTATTATTTACTTAGTGTAGGTTATTATTTATCATAATATAGACATATTTTTGTATAAAATATTTTTTTTTTTTATATTTAAACAATAAAACTAAAACACGGAATTAGGTACCTATATTATAATACTTTTATCATAAAATATAAATATTATCTAATTGTGTTACATGTTATAAACATACATATTAATTTTTAACACCACTTCAGTGCGATGCATGTACTTAACAATATAATATTATAAATAATGTATTACTATTATTACTAGAAATGCATACTAGTGGATAGTTATAATATTTATACATATTTTATTAAATAATGTAACAAATTAAAGTTGTAAAATATCGATTACTATTACTGTGTACAGTGTATAAAATATAGAAGGTTTGGTTAGCATAAAACTTTTAATGGAAGCCACGTTTTCATTGATGGGATCGATGTAGCTCCATAAATGTGCATGATGTTCGTACTGGGGTTCGGTTTTACAATTCAAACGCTTTGCCGATAAAATTTTACGGTAAAGCGTAGGAATTCTAAAACCAAACACCACAGGGCCCTTGCTGCAGCGGAACACAGGACAGAAAAAAATATTTCTTCTGGCTTTGATTTACATTCCATATTTTGAACCCTCTTATACGAATGACCTAAAAATCCTTCTGTTGCTGCTTTATCGTTTTCGGTTTCGGCGTAGACGTCAAACTCTGGGTACGGTCGACAATAGTTGCAGTGGGGTGAGGGTACGGCTGAACTTAACCATTCAAGAATTATTACCAACATCGACCGGAACATATTACCTGTCCAGTCTGCTGCAACCACTCCACGTAACCTCTTCTCTCTATCATAATATTCGATCCCTAGTAAATTATTAATAATATCCTATCGCAGACGGCGGCGCCAAGGCAACCCTTCGGCGGTGGAAATATTGTTTCCTCGATCAAAAACCACAAGTCCATATTCCTCAAATATTAAAAATTAACATGGGCATGTAATATTATATTCGAATCGACTACCACAGTGTAAATTTAGTTTATAGCAGTTGTCGACGGACCACGATTTTATTATTATGCATTCATTATTATTATTTATTAGTAGTTTTACAAAAATAACAGAAAAGTTGAATAATTGAAAATAAAAAATAAAATTTAAAAAAACCATGCATATAGAAATAAACATTATATTATTTACAGAGGTATTTAGACTTGACAATTTAATATACTGCATATAGGTACGTATCTAGAATTATTACTTAACATATTGTATGTAAAACAATATATTTGTTAAAACCCTATAGTAGGTATATATTATTTAATCCCAGTCACATGAATATTTTATACAATTACCTACACAAAGAATAAATAATATATAAACTCGGAGGCTTATCAATGTTTTCTATAATAATGAAATGCACAACATTGTCTTACTACGGCTTGCACTTGGAAGAACGATGAAAGACTATTACCCGCCTAACATAATCCCGGTCTTTGTATCCTGTCTGCTTTTTAATAATACAAAATATTATAGGTACTTATTGTCATTAAATGCAAACTAAACATTTTAATATATGGTACCTAAGTAAGTGTGTATGGTGAAATAATAAAAGATAACATATTTCTAAATACCACACCTACGGATACTGATATAAGTAGACAATTTCGAAGAATAAAATCTTATTATTAGTTTTTATTTACATTAATTTCGTTGTGACAAAATAGCAATTGGTACTGCTATTATAATAATACTATATTACTATCTACCAGTCTACCACTAAAATATTTTATATTATTTATCATTACCCCTATACCTATTCATTAATATATTTAAAAACAATATACTTAAATTAATAACATTTGTACAGTATATTTTTAACGTTATGAATATACTTCAAAAATGCAATGAATATGTCTATTTTTTACACGCCTAAGTGAAAAAGTAAGCTCTATTAAAAAAATAATTTTTAAATTTTAAATTTCTGAAATTTTATATTACTACCTATCCTATGTCTTAGTGCCTATGGATTATTTTTATGTTATAATTTTAATATTTCTTTAAAAATTAAAAATTATAAAGAAATATGTAAATTATTATATTTTATGCTTGGCTGGGGAAATACAAACATTAATTTCAATAGGGACGTATCATCATATTATTCTCATTTAAAAATTCCTGATGATTCCAATGACTTTTGATTATAGTGTTTCCCTAGGGATGAATATTTTATAGGTTATATATTTCTAGTACCTATATATTACATTTCATATAATGTAATGCCGAAATTATATCAAAGTTGTAACTTCAGTCTTATGATAAAAGTATTTTTTTATTTATTAAGATTTAAATGGTCATTATTTGTTCAGCTTTATATTATTGAAATAAAACTATTCTTTAAAAGTAAAGTATTATCTTAAAAAAGAACAACTTATGAATAAATAAATTAAATAGTATGCTCATAATGTTTTTTATGACGTGTTGATTATTAGTTTTTTTTTCTAGTTTATATATTATATTTGTTTTGCATTATCATGTCTTAAAGATATGTCACTATGTTTGTTTAGATTTGTTAATTTTGTCTAGTATTCGAAAAATGTATTATTTAAATAAAATATTTCTTATGAGGATTTATCTGTAATAAGTCATCACAATATTTCATTGTATATTCAACAACACGAAAGAAGTTGTTTATTTTATATTATACTTCATTTAGATTCACAAAAATTATAGCTATGTAAATTGTTAAAACTTTGGACGGACTCAGAAACACATCCATAAAATACAATGAAAGTATCCAAATGGTCACATTTTTTTTTTTTTTTACTAATAATCAATACTTGTACGTTTTTTTTTACGTTTCTTGTACTTTAATGTTTATAAATATGAATGTTTATTGAAAGAACCAAATCGTTAGCCATAATATAAAATATTTATCTGAATATTATTGTAATACATTTATTATTATAATATAATAAAATAAAATCAGAAGCTAAGACGGCATAAATGTGAATACTTACAATAGTATAATCTTTTAAACTTTTAAATAACTTTTCTTATAATTTTTCAAAGACATTTTGTTTAAGTGCCAACAATCACATTATTGGACTTCAAAAAATTATTTTGGATTTCATTCGAGTAAAGATTTTTTCTTGTAACTAATTAAATTACACTTCGCTGTACAATGACGTTTTATTCGGTTATATTATCAACTACCAGAGAGACCAAATAAAAATTATAGTAAGGAAAGCCGTTTTCAGGGTTTGACATGCGATGGTGGTTTATTTATTTTTAAGCTTTTTATAAATGCATGTATAAAATAAGGGTAATCTAAAAGTTTATTCGCCCTGTCTCGGAACTATCAGAGAATAATAAAATACCTAGCCGGTAGATATCGGGGCTGCTGTAGTTTAAAAGCTTTTGATGATACACCAACCATATGCTCTGCATGCAGAACAATAAATTTTTATTCAATTGAATTATAATATTATCTATTGGCCCAAACGTCAACCGTTCATTAAATGTAAGTATACGTTCCGAGATAGTAGGTACCTACTTATACCTACGTATAATGCACGGATTGTAAATCGTTGGTGAAAAAAAAAACAATAAAAACGAATTCAAACTCTTTTCAAACAATATTCGTATGTGCCGGTAGGTAGGTAGGTATAGAAGTACGCGTACTTACACTGTAACTCGCACCGTCTATATAATATTATAGGTACCCGCGTGGTCTATATTTTATAACCATTAACCGACATCATAATATAATGGTACGTTAAACGTTACCGGTAGGTATTATTAATACGCGACAGCGACAAGCACTTACCGCTGGATCGAGTGTTTTGGCTAAAATGAGACATGTTAAACGCAGTGAAATACGAATAAATTGCACACGTCAATTATATATAGGTATATAAAGTTACCTACCATCCGACTGCATAATGTAAAAAAAAGAGAAAAAAACGCAACCAGATAATATATACTTTGGACCCGTTTAAATATGCATGTGACTGTGCGTACTACTGGCCGTCGAAATCGATAAAAGTATACAGCTCAGCTACTACTGCTATACAATTTGTATAATATAATAATGTGCGTATCATGAGCCTGCAGTACATAGTAAACGTCATATTAGACGAATTATAAAAGATTAACTACCATATCAAATAAAAATTTACAATAATAACTGACAAATATGATAGTTGCGTAGGTAGTTATTGATTAGTAAAATAATACAAAAATGGTTTGGTTTAATACTATACGTGCGATAACAATATTAATTAATAACAACACTTTTATTATGGCCAAGGCATGCCTATATATAGGTGACCATGCGACGACGAAAAATAAACCGTATAGAAACGCAAACCACACTAAATGTTAATAAAAATGTGTTCGTCTTGTACTTTAGCTGTTTCTGTTGAATTGTTTTTCGTTATTTTAGTCATCTACGAGAGCACGTCTTATATTCACTAAAATATAATCAACATATTGTAATGTTACTAATAATATGTAGGTATACCAAATAAACCTCAAGCAAATATTATATTATATATTTAGAAAATCATATACAATTTCAGACACAATCCTACTGCCAATGTGACAAACCTACCTATCACAATTATAAAACATATAGCCCTCCAATATTCGCCGCCACATGACATGTCATCCTCAACTATCCAACAACAACAATCGAAACAGCACTCGGGGAACATAAAACAGAGAACAGACTCAATCATCACACCTTTTTCATGACTATTGGTATGGATACCGAAATTATTTAAAAGCTAGATAAAATGCCATATAAACAACAACAAAATGAATAGTCCACATATGTAAAACCCATATTTTAATACCATTTACATGGTTAATCATATAATAATTATTAGCTAATGTCAACTAAAAAAATGTAACGGTAGGCTAATAACCCAGTAGTTGTTGAAGCCTTTTTCCTTACTTGATAATAAAAAAAAACTGCACGTCTTCTATTAACTATCAATTTACAAAAAAGCCTTCAAAATCCTCGATATTCTCAACCCATTTTACTGAGGTCAGACGATTATATTTGAATGGAATTACTCAGACTACAAAATGTTCTAAATATTTATAATTTTAGAAATTGATTGAATTCAGCAAAAAACTTGTTTTTTCACCAAAGTCAAGATACTCTTATTAAAACAAAACAGTTATAAATTGTAGTGTCACGTTTATACGGTATCATAATATTATGCATATTACATTATTACCTTTACCTTAACCTTATATTGATTTAAAAAATTATTACATTTTGGTGTAAATATAATATTTATACTTGTTGTAAATCTTTAAGTACCTACATTAAAAAAATGTATTAAAAATGTATGGCGACGTAGAGAAAATATATACATAGTATACACTCATACATAATATATTATATATACAACTTATATATAGGTACCTTCTACCTATGTAATACGTATAGTTAGCATTTTGGGTACAAAAGCACTATAATAGAAATCTCTTAGAATGCTTTCCTTAAAAGTACGTTTCTTTAATTTGTCTCTCTCCTCCTTAGATTTCCATTTCACAAAAGTCAAAAACATAAAAGAGTGTAGGAACATAATGGTTCGTGTTATCTACGACTTTGTGTCTATTATTATTTGTATACAATAATTTCTGTATTCGTTTCTATCATTCGAACGGATGGGGAGGCAGGGAAATGCTGCATATTATTGTAATATATTTTATAATTTTCACCACAATTTCTTAAAGTCGTTATTTTCCGACAGCGATGATTTAAATTTTATAATTATGTACGAAAA